AGTTGGTAGAATGCACTGCTGGGTGCTAATCTTACCTGTAACTTAAATATTCCCTGACTGTATTCTCTGTTTTTCCATAGTTCTATTTGCATTATGCACATTTTCTATAAGTCACTTTAATTCCTCTGCAAAATGAGGAAGGCAACAAATGGACAGTCTGGGAGACGAATGTATCTTTCTAAGGACTAGGGTAAAAAAAAAATCATTGCCATCGAGTTGATTCCAACTCATAGCGACCCTGTAAGGACAGAGCAGAAGTGTCCCATAGTGTTTCCAAGGAGCAGCTGGTAGATTCAAAACCAACTTTTTGGTTAGCAGCCATGCTCTTAACCACTGCACCACCAGGGCTCCATACAGGGTCTTTATGAGTTAGAACTGGCTCGATGACAAAGGTTTTTTCCCAGCTCCCCAGTCTCGCCCCCTCCCTCACATGCTTTCCCCTTGATATTCTTAAAATTGATCCCCGCCCTCATTTCTCCTTTTCAAGTCAGGTAGGTCTCATATTGTACTTCCATTAATATTCCATCATTGTGTTGGTGGTGTTAGCCACTTCTCTTTCTCCATAAGTCTCCCTTAGCAATCTTCTGTACCTGTGTCTGGGGCAGTGAATTTCTTTTGGGGGATTTACTGCCTTCAAAATGAAAGGATATTTTGGCCCAGTAAAGTGATACAATCTAAGAATCCATAGTTTTTAACTGTTCTACATATTTCCCCAGTCTTTGATCAGAAGAAACTTCTTACTGTTTCTGACTGAAAGCTTCCTGTGTTGGTTTTTTTTTTCCTGGTTCCAAACTTAAAGTGTACTAATGAGAACGTTTCCTTTGAGGATTAAATACTCTGGATGTTCTAAATATTCTCTCTTAATTTACAGAATAAAGTAGTTTTTCAAAACGGGAAGTTTTTTTTCAGGAATTTCATTAAATTATCAGTTTCCATTCAGGTTGCATATTTCCTCTAAACTCTCTATTCACTGTAGTGGATGTATGTTTTTTTTTTGGATGTCAAACACCTACTCCCCCTCATCCTTCTAACAGGGCCTCAATTTCCTGTTTAGGAATTATCTATGCTTCCTTATACTCACGTCCCAGGCATTGAATGCAAATCCTGCTGGAGACTTTCATTCCCCAAGACCCTCAAGCGGCTGCATGTGACTGAAACTCTGCTAATTGATCTCTTTCTTCTGGGGCTATGCATCTTGAGCAGAATAAGACAAGGGTAGAAGAAAAGGTCCAGTGTTTTAATAATTATAGGATGCCCCTGTGTGACAGGTGAGCCACAGGCATCCTCTGTGGTAACTTGAAACTGTTCCAAGTTCTTCTTCAGCCTTCCTTCGGATTCTGTGGCACCATTGTATCCTATTAGATTCACCTTCTGCTCAACATAGCCATTGTTTTCTGTTGTAAAACATAATTTTATATGATAGATGTACACATAGAACTCCCTGAGTGGCACAAAAGGTTAAGCATTCAGCTACTAATTGAAAGATTGGCGGTTCAAACCCACACAGAGGCACCTCAGAAGACAGACCTGGCTATCTGCTTCTGCAAGTTCACAACAATAAAAATCCTGCGGAGCGCAGTTCTACTCTGACACATATGGGGTTGCCATGAGTCAGAAGTGACTTGACAGTAACTGGTTTTTTTTTTTTTTTTTGTGCATACCTGCTCTTTTCTGTATGCGCCATCTTCTCTTGCAATGTCTTAGGTTTATTTTATTCATTTCTATTTTGCATTTGTCAATTTTCAATGTCATTTTTGTTTTGGTTACTCTTATTATATAGTGGCATTTTCCAAAGTTTGTTCTGGGAAACAATAATTGTACCTCAGTGTTAGCAGATGTTTCATGAAAAAGGAAGAAGGGATTTACAGTTAAGTAAGTTTAGAAAACACAGGGATAAATAAAATCAGATTTTTCCTGTGTATTGTGGTTTTCCAATATAGGAAGAATACAGGATGTAGCTTTTTCCAAATTTATTTTACCAATGAACGCTATTTAACCTGCCATATCACGTACTTTGGGTAATGATATTATAGATGCCGTTACTTACCGCCTCCAGTGAGGACTTTAGTTCTTATGCTTTTAATAGAGCACTGCTATCTCTCTTATTTCCTTTTCCTTTTAAATACTGGTCATTCCTACTTAATATTCATCTTTCTCCATCCTATCTGTTTGTAATTCTTGGGGGTTACTTGAGTTTCTTACGTACACTTAAAAAATCTTGAGGTTTGATTTTTTTTGTTTTAATGGAACTACAAAAATTTTTAACTGATCTAGGTGGTTTAGATTTTTCAACATGTGCCTATAATCAAAGCTTATATTTTTAAAGTCTTGTTTACTACTGGTATTTCCTGTTTCTATTACTCTTTTGATAGATTAGAGTTGCACTGGCATTCTTGATTACTGCTCAGTGTTTATAACTGTAACTTTCTTGAAGCATGCAACACATCAATGGTACTTTCTTTTCTGTACTTTGTTTCTGCAATACGAATTTAAGAATTTTGAGCATGTATCAATGTGGACCTATAAACTTCTGATGGTGATGTATAAGATGTTCTCAAAAATACTCATGAACCCCAGTGATGAAATCAGAATGTTAAATTATGGTGGTTCATAAGATAATGTAGGAAGATGAATTTTCCTAGACTCCCTTAGTAAATTCCCTGAGCTACATGAAAGTGTGTGGTATAGAACTTTATCAACAATCTGAAACCAACTTATTTGTAATTTGGTCATGTTGGTGTTTTTTTCTATTAAGCAAATATTCAATTTTTCATTTTGATATGGAGACAAACAGCTCAAGCACGGACCTAGGGTAAAATATTTTTTCTTGATCACTTTCCTGACAGTCAATTCCTCTGACTGCACTGGCCAAATGAAAGGCAACTGTAAGTAACAAGGAAACTGGGAGCAAAAGGCAGTAGATGATGTTAAAACCAGGTACTAATAATTTTTCACCTGGTAATTACACTTTAGAGAAAAAATATTTATTAACTGATCATAGCTACATTATTCAACAATCTAATTGTCTAATATTTAGAGAATGGTTAAGAAAAAATTGGCTGAGATGAATTGTTATGAACTATATTTAGATTTTATTCTATAGTAGCATAAAAGACTATATAAGGAAGAAAACATCTCAAATAACATCATAAAAATTAGATAAAAATAGAAAATCTAGATATAATAAAAACGATGTTTGCACAGTGATAAGGATATCTAATATACTAAATATACTAAAGGAATGGCTGTTATTTGCAATGGAGATGTTCTTTGTATTCTTTCATTTACTAAAGTTAGCTAATAAAAAAAATACAAGTTTTTAGACAACCCATTTTATCTATAGGCAAACTATAATATCTGTGGGTATTATATTTAAGCAAGTTTATAAATACATTTATATATAACATACATACACTTATATGTAAATAAATCACATATACACACATATGTATGTATAGAGACATAAAATATTGCTATGAGTAAAAAGCTTTCTCATTAAATATGATGCACATTTAGAAGAAATACAAATTTGTTTCTTTAAAATAACATGGTCAATTTTCCTATTTGAGCCCGCATCAGAAGGATGTAGTCCTTATTTCCTCCAAATTGTCTTGCCTCCACATAAATTATGAAGAAAATTAAAAACCAAGGTCATCCTAAAGCATGCCAGGTCAAAAGCAATGAGAACACCCAGACATTGTATACTCAAACAAAGACAACTATTCTAAAAGCAGAGACTTAACTAAATAAAATTAGTTAATTTTAAGTATGACTTTTAAAAATGTGGACTTCTTGGCTTAAATCTTAGAATATCCTAAACCAAATTGAACAAATGCAGTTACTTGGGATTGGAAAAAGGGAAGAAGAGGCATAACGTACTTGAGGGTCTCATTACCCTGACTGTAAAGGTGACAGAGTTCATAATGAAGAATAGAATCTAATACTTAAACAGGACAGATACAGGAGAATATAGAAGCCATCTATATACTTTGAAAAGATCTACAGTAGAATAAAATCTAAAGAGAGAGAGACCGTGAGGGCTGTTTTGTTATGGCCAGGAAACTACCTGAGAGGAAGGAACAAAGTTAAGCAGCTTTTCTCATTAAACATTTATTGCTCTCTTTAAATCTCTTTGAAGGGACATAGATGTATATGAAATACTACACTGGGTAAGATCCACTCCTCCCCCAGCCAGAATGCTGAGGCTAATGCAAATCTTAGTGACATGCAATTGAAATACATGACTGTCTCCTTGATGTCGGCTTTCAACACTGTCAACATTAAAGGTGAGGTCCATTCCAACAACCCTTGGTGGACATTTATGTTATTGATAAGTTGTCTGAAACCTTTCAAGAAAACAGCATCAGTGCTCTTTATGAGCATGATACAGAAGTCTTTTCTTAATCTATTCAATAAAGGGCAGTTAAATTAAAAATTCCTGCTTTGTTCCAAGCAGCAGATAATTAATGAAGCCTTGTCCCAGGAAGAGCTCCAAAGTGCTTTACACAGGGGTATTCACAGGACTGCCTGCTGGGAAGCTAAGTTTCTCACTCACCCCCTCAATTTCTTAAATACTGTAATTTTTATATCTTTCTTGCTATGCTTTCTTCATCTTAAAAAGTTTATTCAGCCAACATTATACCAACATTAAAATAATTTTTTAAAGAAAAAACTTCACCCACAAGCCTGCCACTACATAAACCAATTTAATTTGTCCATAGGATATATAATTTGTAGTTGTAATCACATCATACATAATGGAGTCAAACATTTCTAAAGACATTACTTAACATTCTCTGACAACATGCTCTGGTAAACTTCTCTAGAGTGCATATTTAATTAGTACATATTATAAGAAATTCAGCATAAGCTACAGGCCTATCAAAATATAAACATTTAAGGGACTCCTCCTAAATATATACCACAAAAGACATATTTTACAGAAAATGTAATTTTAAGACACTTAATAATTCACATTTATAAAGCATGTTGCATCTTACCTCTTCTCCAGACAGATAGTAGGCTGAGAGTAGTCCACCAACAAAGCGTATATTTACTTCGAAGACAGAAATTGCAGCATTCTGTGGGAAAAAATGAAAGAGGTTCATAAAATGATAGTACACAATTCAGAAAACTATCGTTGTGGTAAAATGTACTAAATCTTTACATTTTGTTCAAATCTTATATGCTTGTCCACAGCAATTTATATATAAGGCAAAATTTTCCTATTTTTGATGTGTCAAAATATACATACAGATAAAAATTATATTTAAAGTCAAAATTATAAAAATATTTAAAATAAAGTTCTTTCCTCCCTCTATTCAACAGCAGATACAATTCTCAGTATTCTCTATTTGTGCACATATGATAGGGCCAGAGCATTCTATTTTTCTATTCTGTGTTCTCTCTCTGTTTTATTCGTTGCTTGCTTTTTCTTCCTTAAAAGTCACTCGTATGCTTTATACTTTGACCAGTAGTTCAACATTATTCTAGCATTCTTCTCATATCATGTGAAAGTTGCACATATACAATGCAAACAGGATTTGAAGTTGGGGACTTGGGTTCTAGTGCTGGTTCCCAACTTTCTACCTGTGGCCTTGGACGATCGCATCTGTTTGGGAAAAAAAACTTCCTCTTTGCACAAAGGAGATGATAATAATAATGTATATGTGTTCTACCTTGCTGAAATAGCTCTTATTTATATCAATAATAGCTTGCTTTTATTATTATTGGCAATGTACAAATCCTGTGCACATGTCTTTACATGAATTATGTCTATTAATCCTCACACCAACCCTATGAAGTAATCACTACCATTATGTCCATGTTACAGATAAACTGAGACTTACACTAGCTAATGCGACTTGTTCAAGGTCAGACAACTAATAGGTAGTAGATCTGAACTTTGATACTCTAGTTCCTGGTCTAGGGCTCTTCCCCACTCTCTGTCCTGTCTTACAATGTCTCACATGGTAATGCACCAAGTCTCTTAATTAACAAAGTGACATACAAACAGTAGTTATTGCCAATATTTTGATTATTTTACATTATTTGGCTACTAAATGGATCTCTCTTGCATTGTCTTATGAGATACTCTAGCACGGCTAACTTATGATAGACGTAATGTATACTTCCAGCTTTAGTAAGCTTCTTTTCGTGTTCATTAGGCCTAGTCAGTAATTGTTCACTTTTGCCTAATGTCAAATCACTCACTGATAATGATGGGGGCTAACAGTAAACTACAATATCTGGAGTAAATATCCAGCAGATGAGCTTAGTCAAAATTATGAGATGTTATTTCTTTCAACAAATATTTATTAAGCAACTACTGTGCACCAAGCACTGTGCTAAGCGCTGAGGCCAAATCAACAAAGACTGAAAAAGTCCTCAATCTCATGGAGACTACTTTAGTGGGAGAAAGCAGCTCCAGAAAAAAAAGGGAGATATATACTCATTTTATTCCCACATGCTCTCTTGGAAAAGTCATAAGAATCTAACGATTAAAGCAAAGTAATTGTCTAACTAAAAAAATTCAAAGATTTTTCTAAAAAAGAAAGATGTAAACTAGCTAGGAGAGAGAACTACTGGGTCAGAGTTAAGCAAAAGCATCATAAAATAAAACTCTTTGGTGAGTTTGTTTAGCACCTAGTATAATTCAATTAAAAGGACTCCATTGTTGTTAGGTGTCATCAAGTTGGTTCCAACTCAAAGCAACCCTATGTACAACAGAACAAAACACTGCCCAGTCCTGCGCCATCCTCACAACCGTTGTTATGCTTGAGACCATTGCCGCAGCCACTGTGTCAATTCATCTCCTTGAGGGTCTTCCTCTTTTTCGATCACCCTCTACTTTACCAAGCATGATGCCCTTCTCCAGGGACTGATCCCTCCTGATAACATATTCAAAGTACGTGAGAAGGAGCATTTCTTCCAAGACAGATTGTTCGTTCTTTTGGCAGTCCATGGTATATTCAATATTCTTCGCCAACACCACAAATCAAAGGGGTTAATTGTTCTTCCTTATTCATTGTCCAGGTTTCACATGCAGATGAGGCGACTGGAAACACCATGGCTTCGGTCAGGCGGGCTGAGTCTTCTAGATGACATTTTTGTTTTTCAATACTTTCAAGAGGTCTTTTGCAGCAGATTTGCCCAATGCAATGTGTCTTTTGATTTCTTGACTGCTGCTTCCATGGCTGCTGATTGTGGATCCAAGTAAAATGAAATCCTTGACACCTTTAATCTTTTCTCTATTTATTATGATGTTGTTTGTTGGTCCAGTTGTGAGGATTTTTGTTTTGTTTATGTTGAGGTGTAATCCATACTGAATGCTGTGGTCTTTGATCTTCATCAGTAAGTGCTTCAAGTCGTCTTCACTTTCAGCAAGCAAGGTTGTGTCATCTGCATAACGCAGGTTGTTAATGCATCTTCCTCCAATCTTGATGCTCCGTTCTTCTCATATAGTCCAGCTTCTTGGATTATTTGCACAGCGTCCAGACTGAATAGGTATGGTGAAAAGATACAACCTTGACCCAGACCTTTCCTGACTTTAAACCATGCAGTATCCTCTTGTTTTGTTCGAACAACTGCCTCTTGATCTGTGTACAGGTTTCTCATGAGCACAGTTAAGTGTTCTGGAATTCCCATTCTTCGCAATGTTATCCATAATTTGTTATGATCCACACAGTCAAATAAAACACAGGTAAACATCCTTCCGGTATCTCTTCTTTCAGCCAGGATCCATCTGACATCTGCAATGATATCCCTCATTCCATGTCTTCTTCTGAATCAGGCTTGAATTTCTGGAAGTTACCTACTGATACACTGCTGTAGCTGCTTTTGAATGATTATGAGCAAAATTTTACTTATGTGTAATATTAATGATATTGTTCGATAATGTCCTCATTCAGTTGGATCACCTTTCTTGGGAATAGTCATAAATATGGATCTCTTCCAGTCGGTTGGCCAGGTAGCTGTCTTCTAAATTTCTTCACGTAGACAAATGAGCACTTCCAGCACTGCATCTGTTTGTTGAAACATCTCAATTGATATTCCATTAATTCCTGGAGCCTTGTTTTTCGCCAATGCCTTCAGTGCAGCTTAGACTACATCTTTCAGTACCGTTGGTTCCTACTCATATGCTACCTCCTGAAATGGCTGAATGCCGACCAACTCTTTTTGGTATAATGACTCTGTGTATTCCTTCCATCTTCTTTTGATGCTTCCTGTGTCGTTTAATATTTCCCCGTAGAATCCTTCAATATTGCAACTCGAGGCTCGAATTTTTTCTTCAGTTCTTTCAGCTCGAGAAATGCCGAGTGTCTATCTTCCCTTTTGGTTTTCTATCTCCAGCTCTTTGTACATGTCATTATAATACTTAGTCTTCCCAAGCAGCACTTTGAAATCTTCTATTCATTTCTTTTACTTCATCATTTCTTCCTTTTGCTTTAGCTACTCGACGTTCAAGAGCAAGTTTCAGAGTCTCTTCTGACGTCTATTTTGGTCTTTTCTTTCTTTTCTGTCCTTTTAATGACCTCTTGCTTTCTTCATATATGATGTCCTTGATGTCATTCCACAACTTGTCTGGTCTTCGGTCATTAGTGTTAAACGCATCAAATCTTGAAATGTCTCTAAACTCAGGTGGAATATACTTAAGGTTGACTTTGGCTCTTGTGGACTTGTTCTAATTTTGTTCAGTTTCAACTTGAACTTGCATATGTGCAATTGATGGTTTGTTCTGCAGTCGGCCCTCAGCTTTGTTCTGACTGATGATATTGAGCTTTCCCGTTGTCTTCTTTCCACAGATGTAGTCAATTTGATTCCTGTGTATTCTGTCTGGTGAGGGCCACATGTATAGTTGCCGTTTATATTATTGAAAAAAGGTATTTGCAATGAAGAAGTCACTGGTCTTGCAAAATTCTATCATGCGATCTCTGGCATCGCTTCTATCACCAAGGCCGCATTTTTCAACTACCGACTCTTCTTTGTTTCCAACTTTCACATTCCAATCACCAGTAATTATCAATGCATCCTGACTGCATGTATGATCAGTTTCAGACTGCAGAAGCTGGTAAAAATCTTCAATTTCTTCATCTTTGGCCTTAGTGGTTGGTATGTAAATCTGAATAATAGTCGTATTAACTGGTCTTCCTTGTAGGTGTATGGACATTATCCTATCACTGACATGCTGTACTTCAGGATAGATCTTGAAATGTTCTTTTTGACGATGCATGCAACACCATTCCTCTTCAAGCTGTCATACGCGGCATAATAGACAATATGATTGTCTAATTCAAAATGGCCAATAGCAGTCCATTTCAGCTCACTAATGCCTAGAATATTGATGTTTATGCATTCCACTTCATTTTTGATGATTTCCAGTTTTCCTAGATTCATACTTCATACATTCCATGTCCCGATTATTAATGGATGTTTGCAGCTGTTTCTTCTTATTTTGAGTTGTACCACATCAGCAAATGAAGGTCCTGAAAGCTTGACTTCATCTACATATCTCTTTAAGGTCGACTCTACTTGGAGGAGGCAGCTCTTCCACAATCATCTTCTGAGTGCCTTCCAACCTGGGGGGCTCATCTTCTGGCACTATATCAGACAATGTTTTGCTGCTATTCATAAGGTTTTGACTGGCTAATTCTTTTCAGATGTAGATCACTGAGTCCTTCTTCCTAGTCTGTCTTAGTCTGGAAGCTCAGCTAAAACCTGTCCACCATGGGTAACCCTTCCAGCATGTGAATACCGGTAGCATAGCTTCCAGCATCACAGCAACATGCAAGCCCCCACTGACAGACATGTGGGGGAAAAGCACACCATACGGGTGCAATTTATCTTTGAGGTATATCACTATGAATGAGTAATATATAAATATTGGTAAAAGCTTTTACATTACACTAAATTACCACCTTCAATACGCATTACAATTTAACATAAAGAAAATAAAAATTCTCAAAACTGAACCAAAAAGCAACGTCATGCTAAATGGAGAAAAGACTGAAGTTGTCAAGGATTTCACTTTACTTGGATCCACAATCAATGCCCATGGAAAACAGCAGTCAAGAATTGAGAC